GCAAGGCCACAGCCAGCAGCCTGGAGGAGCTGTGCTGGAGCTGGGCGCTGCGGTGGGTGCTGCCTGCCCTGGTGTGAGGCTGGGCCCAGAGCCCCTGCGTCCATGGGGGACGCGCTGGGGGCCCGCGGGGCCCTGTGCCCGGCCAGGGCGCCCAGTATGGCCCAGCGAGCGCTGTTGGGCTCCAGCAGGAGGATGGCAGGGTGGCCATGGGGAGGGCAAGGTGGGCACGAGCACAGCAGAGGGGCTGTAGGGTGGCCACAGGGAGGGCAGGGTGGCTCTGGGGGCAGCAGGGTGGCCTCAAGGGTTGTCAGGGTGGCCACAGGATTGTAGGGTGGCCCTGACGAGGGCAGAGTGCCCATGGGGTGGCAGGATGGCCATGGTCACAGCAAGGTGGCCATGACGAGGGCAGAGTGCCCGTGGGGCGGCAGGGGGGCTGCAGGGATGGCAGGCCATGCGAGTGCCCGGCCAGGCCCTGCCTCCCTCTGAGATGCAGTGGGGCCAACTGGGGTGGTTGCATGTGGTGGGTTGGCATGTCCTTGTGGCGCACGGGGACACAGCCAGAGCCATCGCACAGGAGCTGCGCTGGCGGGGGCACGAGGCTCACCAGGAAAGGTGGTGCAAAACTGACTAGGCTGGATCAGAGCCCTATGACTGATTTTTTTTTTTAAATTCCCCTGGATAAACATGAGCTAAACAAAAAACAAAAAAAATGAAACAACGAAAAAAGGAAGGTCTTTGTGGGGGTAGGTTAGTTGCTTGCTTGTCCCAAGGGAAATGGTGGGACGGACTGATGTGGAACATTTGGAAGTCAAATATACAAATCCTGCCCCCAGAGATAAGTTCAGAGCTAGCTACTAAATGCAGTGGCCAATGCAGAGCTACTTGGTCATGACATATGCCTTGTTTCTCTGCCAATTGCAAAAAACAAAAAAACCCTGCAATATTCGATGTCAGACTGCTGCATAAGAGGAGAAGGGGTTGTCTCATGCTGCCAACATGCACAAAGAAAGTGAGAAACAGTGCCTGGTGCTCCAGAAAAAAACAGGAGGGAAGGTAACAGGATCTGCTGCTGGCTGCCATGCACTGCACTCTGTTGGAGTCCTCCAAAGCTCGGGATCAGCTAGCAGAGCTCTCCAGGTTTTCCTGATGTGTGGAACCTGTAGATCATTTTCTCAAAGTGATGGTCACTGTGTTTTTTATATAAACCTCAAGTCTCTGGAGGCCAGAACTTGCTCATGAGCCCTGAATGTGGGGCAATTTCCTTGTGTTGCTTAATTTCAACTGTTACTCTATTACCTTTACCCAAAGAAAAGCTAAAACTTCAGTCATTCAGAGCTGCTACATAAGGAAGCTGTGGTTAGAGAACAAAGTGCATACGACTGAGTTTTTTCAAGTCTGCAGGGCTCTTGGCTTGGGAGTGAAGTGTCAGAGTTGACAGTAAACCCCAAATAAACTCCTGCTGCCATGTTGTAGCCCTTGGCTGAGCAAGGAGGGCCCCAGCATGAATTGTGTGAATTGTGCCTGGGAAGTGTGGATCACCAGGATGAAAGGGAATTGAGGTGTGGGAGTTTAGCTGCAGGGGAAGGAGGTCAACAGGTTTTTGACTGCTGACTCTGGAAGGGTCAGGGACCTCAAAGGGGAAGTCATGCAGCTCAACTGAAGGCAGAACCAAACCCATGCCTTCGGGGCAAACTATTGCAGGTAAAAATACAGCCAAGAACTTGGGAATTCCTGCACTGAGTGCCAGATATATGATTTTGTGCCCTGCAGTCAGCTGCTGTATGCAATTTAAGGTGCTTGGAGGCAGTGCTGTTCTTGAGGCTGGCTGAAATGGAGGAGCTCAGGGAGGTGGAGATGCTGTGATGACGAGAGGCTCAGGGCTGCTATGGAGCAGCCTCACCACTCAGGGAGATCCCAGGTGCTGCTCCGCTCCTTAGGGAGAGGAGAGCTTCTTGGCCTGGAAGCATCCATTTAGCAAGCAGAAAATGGTCCCAAAGGTGGGGCTGGGTCACTTCTGAAGTTATACCTTCAGGGAGAAGCTTGTCAGGAGAAAGTAGGCAGGTCCTTCAGGAGGCAGGTCCAGATGTGGGAGATTTGGACATCTGTGTGTGAAGAGCTGAACTTCCGATAAGAGATGACTGGCATCACAAGGCACCTGGACAGGCTCTTGCAACAGTTTGGGAAGGAGGAAGCAGAAGGGAGAAAGCTGGGGGGGGTGCTCTGCGTGGTGGGTGGGGGGGGGGGGGGGAGAGAGAGAGACTCTGAAAGCTATTAGGAAGTTGAAGATCAGGGTTTTTGTGGTGGTCTCCAAAATGCCCCCTGCCAGGGCCAAGCACAAAGCCAGAGTCTCACTGTGGCACTAAAAGTCTGGTTTACGGTGGAGATCAGAGATGTTTGAAAACTGCCAAGGTGGAGCCTCGACAGGAGAGACACACTTCAACTAGGCTAAATGACTTCACCTTAAAAAGGGTGAGAGGAAGCTGTGAACTGGACTGTGATGAGAGCAGGCGAGTAGAGAGGAGAGCTTGGTTCGGAAGTGTGTGCTCTGAGCAGTAGCAGCTCGCTCCCTAAAGGACAGGTGGCGACCGGAGTGAACCTGGAGCTGACGAAGAACTGCTGGGACAAGTAAAGTCTCATTTAAACAAGGCACCAAAAACCAAACCCACCCTGCTGCTGCTTTCTATGCAAATGCTCAAATTCCAAGAATATAAGGTGAAAACTCTTGTGTCTAGCTATAAAGATGGGTATTTACATAACAGGAGTAGCAGAAACTTGGAGGAGGGACAGCAGGACACGGTAGCACCAGGGTATGAGGTGGTCAAGACACCTCAGAGGCTCGAGGAAGAGTCTTAACAGAAGAGATGTGCTCTTTAGAATCACAAAAAGCTTCACTCAAGTGTTTTTTTTTTTTTTTTAACCTCAGTCTGAATAAAAGCCACACTGGTGTAGGATGCTTAGACAGAAGGGGTAGGTTTATACCTTGCTCTGTAAAATGTCCACGGGCAATCAGACATCCACAAGAGACGGAAAACTTGGCATGAAGACCATCTGGAGACACCACCAGGAAGCCTCAAAACAATCAATTTCCACCTATCAAAAGAGTCTCTAGAAGGAGACCCCCCCCCTTCCTCAGGATATAGCTGGTTGGTGTCATCCCCTTGGATTGCCAGAAGGGCTCAGCTGGATCCTCATCAGAGGCTTTTAAAAGGAACTCAGCTGCAATAGACTAGGAGGGAAGGATTTCCTATGGTTAAATATTTGTTTAAAAGACAAATCAGAGAGTAGGAATAGCCATTGCAGTTAGGAGGGGCCAGAGGGGAAAGAGCTTGCAGCAGTGTCAGGCTGGGAGGACAGGGATCACACATACACATGGGCTCCTGTCAGTATGGAAAGGATGACATTTCCTGGCAACCTAGGGAGCTGTGCAGGATTTGCTGCAGTCCCACGTGTAGTTGGTTATCGGCCTGACAGCAGGACATGTAAGTGAGCGGGGCTCCCTGGTGGTACCTCATAGCTACTCTGGTTGCTACACTGTGAATGTAGCTGGTGCTTGAAGGGACCAAGAAATAACCTCAGCTTTTGTCCCCTTGTCTTTTTTCAGAAGCTGTTTTATCTCAAATGCTCTCTGAGGAGTCGGTGTTCCTCTGCATGGGATCAGAATATTTCCAGGCTCCTCTCACACTCCCACTCAACCTTGCTGCAAAACTAATGACATTTCTGATTGCCTTACCTCCAGGAAAGGAACATAATGCCTCCAGGCTGCCTTTCCACAGGCACCAGAGGGTCCCCACACACCATTGCTGTCAACCACCACCAGCAGGTCTAAAATCTGGAGGGAAAATCTGTGCTCTTGTCTGTGCTGCTAATGTCTGAAGCCAGCCCAGTGGTTTCTCTGAGGGGTTTTTGCAGCATTTCACAGAATGGTTGAGGTTGGAAGAAATGTCTGGAGATCCTTTAGCCCCTCCCTCAGCCCCACTAAAGATTCCTCCTTCCAGCCCAGGAATGGCTCAGACAGTGATAGAAACACAATTTGTGGCTAACAGATTTTCTTATCTCTTAAGCCCCCTGCTCTGCAGTCTTTTTCTTTCTGATATATTTTCTAATTCAATCTTTGTGCTCGATCACTTCTTCCAGAAGACCATCAGGAAGGCTTGTTGGCATTTCAGCTACACATGGATGGATACCACCTGGCCATCACCCACCTGCTGGCAGGGCAGTCAGGCATGGGGATGTCGAGACTTGTGTTGAACGCTGTGGGTGTTGGAAGCATCTGAATGGATATAGGCAATGACTGGCTCTTCCATGTTTCCAGGCCTTGGATGCAGACCGAGTTGTGCTGCAGCAGATGAGAAAAGCAGCAAAAGCAGAGCATGCCTGCGGACAAGGTCAGGGCAGGGAGCAGGGAGATGGGTGGCAGAGGGCTGAGGCCAGTTCTGGCAGCAGATTGGGTTGATGGCAGCTGGGAAGCTGGGAGTGGGAAATGTGTCTGCCTGGGGTGTGTGTAGCTCCCCAGGCCTGCAGCTCTCAGGTCCTGTAGCTGCTGCTGTTCATGCCCTTTGCCAGCTGCAGTGCCCGTTGGAGCTGGGTAACAACAGGGGAGGTAACAACAGGGGAGACAGTGGGAGGCAATAGGAGACACTTGCCCCAGGCCTAGAGCAAAGCCAGGCTGGAGAGTGGGAATGCATCTGCACCTTCTCCCTGGTTGCACTGAGTACTATCCACCTTCCTCCAGATCTCATCAGCCACATTGAAGCCCACATCGCTGCTCAGGAGAAATTCTCAGCCAACTACCAGCTGGAGGGTGAGGAGCAGCTGGCCAAAGCCTTTAGCACCTTTGCGACCTTTTCCTGGGAGCTACTGACGGCTGTCAGGAGCCTGGTAGGCAGCCCTGTTCTCCCCGTGAATGTCCAAGCAGGGTCCCACAACGGGCTCCTCAGGAGTCAAGGACACACTGGTGGGGGCCTCGCTCTGGCACATGTCCCAGGAAGAGTGGCAGGGACTGGTCTGCACTCTGGCTGTCTGAGCTCATCCCCTTCCCGAAACACAGGTAGGTGTGTGGTTTTAGAGCAGGTGACACAGCAGACACTGCTGAGTGGCAGCCAACCTCTGCTGCTGCTCATAAGAGGCAATTTCACATGGTGGCCTGCCAGGGAGGAGGCTGCCATGGAGGTTCCCACTCTGCACACAGTGCTTGCAGGAGCCCCATGGGAGTCCCAAGGAATCATGTGCATTGACCAAAGGCAAGGTTTGCAGCAGGTAAATGGCAGGTGATGCTTACTGCCTGCTGTTGAGCCAGGTTGGAATGGCTTTGGGAGATGTGGAGCAAAACCTCTTCCAAGGGACCAGTATACATCTTCTGCACCAACTGCTAGAGGTTCAGAGTGAGCTGGGGAACCTCTTCAGAAACAATTACAAGAGCTTTCAGGAGAAAGCAAACTGTGCTGCAGTACCCTGATGAACTAACCCTGGGCTTTCAGCTATGCTGAAATGTTTGCCTGGTAGTAGCAAGGAGCTGGGCAGTGCTTTTGGGGGGAATTGCAGAAAAACTGACTCTTGGAGCTATGCTATCACCAATTCTACATCAGCTCAGCTGTGGGTTGGCCTCGTTCAGTGTTGAAAATCTCCAGTGATGTTTTTTGGATGACTGTTTTCTGAAGTAGTTCATTGTGCAGCTTCCCAAACAGCGAGTGGTGCGGGTGTTGGCGCCAGGTCTGGGACTCAAGCCACTTAAGAAGGTATTTCCAGTGACACCCTTAGGCTGCCTGCATGTAGCTATCAGGAGGTAGCAGCAGTCCGGGAGAGGGATGGTGCTCCTGCAAGTAGCAGGAATAAAAAACAGGAATGCACTGAGTCCACAAATTCTTTTCATGGCCCTGGGTCTCACTCCCCCTCACGCAGTATTAGCACAAAACAAACTTCCACTATGTTGGGCTGCAGGCTGAATGTTTTGAGACAGACCTGAGGGCTGCATCCACAGCTGGACCCAGCTTGAAATTTCCAGGGACCTCGTGCTAGTCTGACCAGCCTGGGCAGTGCAGGTTACATGATCTCTCTCCTTTTCAGTTGCAGAGTTTGTATCACAACATCAACTTTTCCCTGGAGTCACTAATAAAGGGCGACTTGAAAGAGCTCAAAGGGGTAAGCAAAGACCAAAAGGACTGAAGAAAAATGATGCTAGGAAGCAGCAAGATGGAGACAGAGGGCATGGCAGCAGTGCAGTCTCATCCCTGGCCCACGTCCTGCCCTCTGGCAGGGTGTTGCAGGGAGATGTGCTGTCCTGGGAGACTCCTGTGCACCAGGCCCTGCTCGCTGCCCCGGGGCTGGGTCTCACATCAGAAGTCAGGGTAGCAGTGCCACTTAGCTGGTCCCTCTGCGTGTTTTGCAGCTGAACCCAGAGGAGTTTGGAGTAGTTCATTACACTGAGAAAAATAAAACTCTTGTGCACCAAATAGTTATAATTCACAGGTGCACTAACTTCCCCGCTGCCACATGGTGAGGCCCATCCCTTGCAGGCTCACCTGTGGCTCCTGCACATGCAGGTGTTGGGGCACATGTCTGAATCTGAACATGCTCATGTGTATGCACATAGGTCTCAGAGATTACAAGACAGCAAGTATTAAAGTGAATGTAAAATTTGCTTTTCTGCATAGAGGGTTTATAGAACTTCTCAATCAGTCTAGTTTTAGGAAAAGCATCAAATGCTTGTTTATTTTTTTGATTTTTTTTGCCAATGGAAGAGTCATTGTGGTCCTTGGTGCTTGCATGCATCTGTCTGTGACTGTACTCAAGTCTCCAGCTCTATGTTTGTTGCCATGTGAATCTGGGCACAAATCAGTGCAAGAGCCTGCGGATGTTTGAGGGAAGACGTGTGTTTGTGTGACTGAACTGACTTATCTACTATTCTGGAACTAGGTCATTCTTGAGGAATTGAGGGTTCATAGCCTACATCTAACACAATCGAAGAGCTGCCACTTGTGATCTGGTGCCATTCCTCCTTCAGTCACTTTCTTCATATACTTTCAGCCTTGCGCAGAGGGATTCTACAAGCAGGATCTATACATCTTCCTGCTATAGAGCAATTATTATTGGCTAACATGTACAAAAATATCTAGGATTTAAGCAGCTACTGTGCTAAGTACTCTTAGCACCCTGATCAGACACCTGAGGTGTCTCTGCTGGCCAGGCAGATCATGCCAGGAGAAGCAGGGTCAGCACTGCTGCTCCTGGGAGCAGCTTCTTGGTGCTTCCACTGACACCGATGACCCTGACAACTCAGACAAACTCTCTGATTTTCCTTTCTTTAGCATTTTAGTTTTTTCCATGTTAGTTTTTATGTTAGCTTTTTTACCCCTCTTGAATCCTTGAGCTATTAATGATCTGTTTCAACAACCCAAACTCTGTAATTTTATCTTTCTTATCTCGGACTCTATGGGCTTTCTCAGAGCTTTTCCTCCCAACTTATCTCTTGCCTCAGAAGTCTGTGTCAAGGTTTTACAGCTGGCCTGCATCAGAGCTGGGCCTGGGATCCTTGGATGGACAGCTGACCCTCTGGGAAAGCAGGGGGAGGCCATGGGCAGGAAAGAGAGGGTTGAAACCTGCAACAGAATTTGGGGACTTCCAATGGACTAATGGCCAAATATACAGAAAAATTAGGAGCATTTAGGCAGAAAATTGGGAACTAGCACTTTGTGGGAGTGCGAAATGAGAGAGCAAGTGGGGTGTAGTAAAATGCTAAAAATATAAATATGTAAATGAAAACCCCACTATTTTACATTGTTGTGGTCAATGCCAAGAAGATAGAAAGCTAAGCAAATCTGGCAAAGATGAAAAACAGCTGTCCACAAGAAGTCATGATCAAGCTGATGATATTTCTAGTTGTGTCCCACAGAAATCAGAGTTTGATCTGAATCTATTTGGCATTTTCATCAGGAGGGAGAACTCCTGATGGAAGTTCTGCTTTGACAGGCAGAAGAAACAAAGAAACACTTTGAGGAACAGTGAAGTATTGAACAGAAGTCTAGAGGGGCTGTGGGATCTCCATCTTCAGGGGCTTCAAAATCTGCCCAGTCAGTGCCCTGAGCAACCTGGTCTGAATTCACTACTGCTCCTTCTTAGAGGTGGGTGGATTAGAGAACTCTTGAAGCCCCCTCCAACTTGAACTAGTTTGCATTTCTGTGACACGCAAGTTGCAGAGCAGCAAAGTTTCTGCAGAGAAAAGGGCAGAAAGCAGGTGATGTGGGCACACAAACACATTTGAACATAGCAAAATAGCAGCAACTGGAGAGAATATAAAGATATACAGTCAGATTAGAATCAGACTATGTCTTTTTAACAGAGAGATTAACTCACTGTTAGATGAATACTTAGAAGAAGAATTAGATTCTCTCAATGCTGTCAGGTTTTGACAGATTTCTGATGCCTCTGGAAGGTGTTTTAGTCAAAGAATGTTCTGACTTCAACAACTGAGGAACTGCTAGATGCTTTCTGGCTTGTGTGTTTCAGAGCAAATGTCAAAGTGATTCATTCTGCCCTTAAAAATGTGAGTCTGTGAAATCTTGGTGCAGATATGTACATGTCTACCTGATGCATATGTGTATGATAAATGTTTTGGTGCCTGGGCATGTGTGTATTTGCACGCCTAGGGCATATGTACTAGTGCTTATGCAAGTAAGTGTGTAGGGCCTGTGAGTAAACTTTCCCTGGAGCACATACCTGTTTGCTGTATGTGCGGGTGCAGAGACATGTGAGCATACTTTTCTGGGGAGAGACAGTCCTATGGACAGCCATGTACTAGTCTGCAAGGTTCTTTCTGCTAGGGCAATCCAGTGGGAACTCAGAATGCTAAAGCTCAAGAAGAGCTTGTCCTGGACAGTCGTTAAGTGCTTCCTTTGTCTCTCCCTAGGAATTCAAAAAACCATTTGAGAAGGCCTGCAAAGACTATGAGAACAAACTGTAAGTTGTCATGCTTCCTGGCCTCGAGATCATACTTGGAGGCTTGTTTTTATCTGACTCTTTTGTGTGTTCTTCCTCTTTCTTTGAGTGCAAAAATTGAGAAGGAGAAGCGAGACCTTGCAAAGCAGTATGGGATGGTGCGAAGCGAGGTGAGCGGAGGTGAGATTGCAGAGGAGATGGAGAAGGAGCGGAGGACCTTCCAGTTAAACATGTGCGAGGTAACACAGGACAGGGTGGGTTGGAGCAGCAGCAACACAACACAGGATCTTGGTCCTTGTCTGTCCAGCTCCTCCCAATCCATGTGGTTCTTCTGTGCCAGTGTCACTACTCAGGCCACTGAGTAGCCTCAGCTGTCACAGCTGCCTCCTGCATCTCCCTGCTTGCTCCCCAAAAGGCTGAGCTGTGGCTGTTGACCCAGAGTCACGGACTCCATCTCCAGAGAAGGATGAAGCTGTGATCCCAACGCTGTGCTTCCCATTTCCTCCTGCCTGAGTTACCTCCTGGATTGCCTTTACCGTAGCCTGACTTGCCCTGTATGCTGCTTGCAGCTTTTAGACACCAGACTGTGGATTTTGCAGTCCTCCCTTGGGGCTCCAGCACAGCACTGCTTGCTAGTGCCCAAGTCTGCTCCTGGAGCCATTTCAGAGTCACTGAATCAGCATCCAAGGAACAAGCTTTTGTTCTGGACTTTTTTTTTTTTTGTCTGAATACACACTGATCTTTCATCTGTGATTATCTTCTATCCCTGATCAGTAGCACTTGTGCCAGTGGTACGGCTTGTGACTTTCTCCCTTTCCGAGATATGGAAGCGCCTCAGAGCCCAGGGCTCTGCCTGGTGATCTGGCAGCATCGCTCTGCTCTGCCTAGGGGGAGCAGTACCGAGGAGGGCTGCAAATCTCCAGAGCTCAGCAGGTCCCTTCCCTTGTGCTGGGCTGGCTCTCCCAGCGAGCTGCTCTGGGTGAGAGGAATGGATGAAGCCTGAGCCTATATTAACCTGGCCATGGGGTTGCTGCAGATCCTGGCCACCTAAAGTGAAGATATGAGCAACGACCAGAAACTGCTTCTGTAGCGGAGGAAAGGGGAGGCTGAGCCAGGTTCTGTCTTCCGCAGCTACTTCTCATCCACCAGGCACTATGGATTTTGGTGCCAAGGCCCTGGCAGGCTCTGGGAGAAGGAGGTTCCATGCGAGGCTCGTGGGGAGCACCCCTAGGTGCTGGTCCCACTTCTGCCAGATTTGAGCTCTTCTGACCAGCTTGGCAAATGTCCCTCACTCCCGTTTTTCTCTTGTGTCCCTCTTCATCCCATTTTGGAAGTCATTACTGTGTCCATACCAAAACAACTGTCCTACTGCAAATATAAGAACTCCTTGTCTTATGGAGCTGCACTGACTTAGCCCTTAGCTGCACAGTAGATCACAGGCAGATTTCATTCTGTGTTGACATGAATTCATGTGTGACCTTCAGGTTTCTAATTCTAATTCAATGTGTAGGCTGCTTTTGAGGGAACATTTTAATGGATGGAAATTGTTTTGAACGATGCCCTCAGAATAAATACAGGGAATTCTGAGGCCAGACTTTTCTCAACCTGGCCAGCATAGCCTATACATATTTAGAAGCTGGCTTGCTACATTGCCCTGTGGATCTTCTGTACATGGTAATCTGTAGGTTTTCTTTTGTGTGGTAGCTGTAATGTCTAGGAAGTTTATGCTGTTGTAAGAGTATTCCAGGCACTGATGGAGAAATGCATAGATTAGAAATTTTTCATATCGCCAACCCACCGACTGAAAAGGCGTATCTTAGAGATCTCTGCATCTTAGATATAGCATCAGTTGAGAACTAATTATTTTGAATCACTTCTTCATGGTGGACCACAAATGGGTGAGTATTTTGTGTGGCCATTTTTCTGCCTACGGCCACACCTTTATTTTGGAAAAGGTGTTGGGTTTTGAACATAATTTTATTTCCCCACACATAAAATGGGTGAGGATGGACTTTGTGATGTGGCAGGTCATTTTGGTCTGTAAATCTGAGTGCCAGCTTGCTTCTGAAGCTCCTCGAGGCAGCCGCGAACAGGACACAGGGAGGCAGGCTGGCAGCAGCGGCAGGAGGGTCAGGCCGTGCATGAGCAAGGTCGAGTGTTTCCGGAAGGCTGCACCTTGGGGTTTGAAGGTTTGTAGGAATGCTGGCAGTTCTTCTGTGAAAGCACCATGACTCTGGTGTTGGGTTGCCTTTTGGTGAATCTTTTCAGGGTGTATAAACGGAGCGTTTGCCCCAGTAAAGAAAGCCCAGAAAACTTATCTTCGTGTGTCCAGCACTCTACTGTCCCTCTCTCAGGGGATGCTGAGAAGGGTAGTGAAGCACTGGGAGAGCTGCTGGAATGTGCTTTTAAACTCTTGTCAGAGCACATGGCTCTGTGTGCCACAGCTTCTCGCCCCATAAAAGCCACGACCCCATCAAAGCCAGGACAAGACTGCCAGGAAGGGCCACAATGCGCTGCTCTTCACTGGCATGAAAAACGACATGAAACATGAAGGAGTAAGTGCATAAAAGGCATCTCTCTAAGGTACAAATTCAGTCCCTGTATCCTTTTCCCTTCAGTATCTAATCAAAGTGAATGAGATCAAAACCAAGAAGGGGATCGGCTTGCTGCAAAACCACATCAAGCACTGCAACTCACAATTCAAGTAAGAGCAACCGGTCCCCTTCCTTTGCCTGCTTTCATCCCAGAAGCACCAATATTTAGAGGAGATTTGGGAGGTAATCTAAGTAGAAGGACCTAGAGATACTTCAGTTAGCTCTGCCTGGCTTGTAACATGTTTAAATTCCCTTTTTCCTGGAGATGGTGGGGGCAAGGATCTGAAGGGGATGTTCCCTTTCTTTAGTATGACCTTTTGTAAGGCCAGATGATCCATGTATAAAGCACATCTGGAATGTGGGGAAGGCAGATGGTTGCTAAAATATATTTCCTAACAAAATTTTTGCACTACAACTAAAGAAAAAATGCTAATTGCTGAAAATGTGATTGGTACTGGTAGAGGGGGTTCAGGAGAACCTGGGATGTGCATGGTTTACAGTCACTGCTAATTGCAGGATTCAGAATATATTCCTATGTTAGCGTTTCCTATCAGTTTCTTTCAGGAATGTTTAAACACAACAGCAAAACTGAAGAAGTTTACAGAAAAGCTCATTCCAGAGCTGCAGAGCGTGAGTATGCGTCTCAACTTCAGCGCTCCGAGCAGGATGCAGAGACGTCCGTCTCCAGCTCTTCTTCCTCTGCAGGGGCAGAGATGACGGTTTACGCAGTTCTTTGCATCTATTAATCACTATTTCCTGAGCTCTAACATGTAGTGGCCCCTGGGTGGGAAAACTTGGCTACCAGTGGGAATAGGGAAATTGTGCTGCCTCTACCCCAGGGGCCAGAAGGGGAAGAACTAGCACAAAGGAAGCACTAAATTGTTCATCCTTCAAATTCCTTCCCCAAGATCCTTGCTAGACATAAATCTTTTGATGGAGTACTTTAAATCATTTTAATTGCTGACACTACCAAAGTTCAAAACAACAGCTACAGTGAACATCAAGCTCTTTGTTGCTTTTACACTGTGGAGAGCTAAAAACAGCTATTTTCTCAGAAAATAACACGGTTGCTAGAATGCAGAATGCGTTCCTGTGGTCCTGCATTGCGAGTGCTCCAGCCCTGGGGACATGCCTGCTTCCCTGCCTTTGTGGATGTTTCTATGAACGTGTTTCTGCACATGCCACATATCATGGAATAGGCCTTGGTACATCCCACAGAAACAGGAAGGCACCGAGGTCAGGAGGTTGCATGGAGGCACCTCCACTTCTCCCAGGAGAATGAGTGGGATGTGGTGGCTGAGACAGAGGCCTCCTCCTCTCGCGCAAGGGCTGACTGTGCTCTGGTGCCTTTCAGATGAAGATTTGGCAGGATGAGGAGAAGAAGCAGCTGTGCTCCCTTCGGGATCAACTGAAAACAGCATTGCAGCTGGAGCGGAAAGAGGTAGAGTCTGATCCTTCTTCCAAGGGGACTTGAGATGGTTGCCCTGAAGTACCCTGGAGGACTGGACGCAGCAGCTGCTTATCTAGTTCCTGTCCTGCCCTTTGGTGTAGGAAGCTGTTGGGTTTCTAGTCAGCTAGGGGGTACACAGGGCCCCTGGCAGTCCCACAAGGGCACGTTCTTGACTGGGGTAGCCATCAAGCTTGGGGTCCCTGGGCCCCTGGCGCTGTCTTGTAGCTGCTAACTCTGCCCTTCTGCCTTAGGCAATCTGTGTCCCAAAGCAGCTGCCTCCTGTGTCACCCAGCAGCGCACCCCAGACGCGCACAGGGCTGGTCACCACAGCCCCGGGAGACGCCCGGTCTGCAAAGGCACCAGCGCCGCCATACCCTGAGAGGAGCTAGCAGGGACACGAGGCCGCAGCTCCCGTGCCCAACTCCTGCCTCTGCCTCTCCCTGCGGGTAGCTGTGGGGACTGGCTGCTTTTTCTCTTCTTCTGACAGGATTCTGGGAGCAAACAGGCAAAGTACAACATGCACCAGCTGCAAGGGAACAAGGAGTATGGCACAGAGAAATCAGGGACCCTCTTTAAGAAAAGCGATGGGTACGTTAGTCCTGCATACCCCTTTCAATGCTCCTTTGAGCAGGCAGAACGGCTGAGTCGCAAACTTGGCCTGACTTCTGCACACATCTCCCCATCGTGGGAAGGCAGAACCACCTCCTCCATTTGCTTTGAGAGGGGCTCCCACCGCTTTCCTCTGATGCCCCAAATTCTGCTGCTGAGGTAGACAGAGAAAGGTCGATGCCTCTCCCTCTTTCAGCCCCTTGTGTCTTTTCAGAATTCCGGCCATTGTCTCTTCCAGGCTGAAGAGCCCGGGTCCTGCAGCCCTGGTTTTTTCACACCTCGGGCTCTGCTTGTTATTCTTCCCTGTGCCTTACAACCCTCTTGTCATGAGGGTGAACACTTAGGGTGGGTGCACTGAGGTTTTATGCACTGGCCTGGTGATGTTTCCTGCTGGGCAGCTCAGCATGGAGTGGTTTCACTGTAATGGTCACAGGTGTTTGCTGAGGTTTCCAGGCAGCTGTATGCTCTGCAGGGTGAGCTGTATGCTCTGCTAGCAGGGCCTGCTGCTCCAGGGGATGCTGTGGGCCCGTGTCACCTCTGCAGCAGCTGTGCTGCCCCTCTGTACAAGCCTCCCCTTATGCACTCTGCCATATGCATTGCTCAGAGCAAACCAAGAGTGGCAGGCCCCATCTGTGGCAGCAGGTCTAATGAGGAGCTGTGGCCCCTGCTGTCCCTTACATGGCTCTTGTGCTCGCCAATGCTGCACAGGGCTGCATAGCACAATCTACTCCTTTGCACAGTGGGACTCTGTGTGGGTTCTCTCAATTTAATCTCTCCTTTTTTCCAGGTTGAGAAAAGTCTGGCAGAAGAGGAAATGTACCATCAGCAATGGCTACCTTACCATCTCCCATAGTACGGTAGGAACTGCTTTTTCCAACCCCAAGCTGTTGCTGCATTGGAACCGCTGCCACCACTGCAGCAGCCTCACAGACTTCCTGGGAGCCTGGCAGAGCTCTTGTGCCCAGGCTGCCCAAATGCAGCCTTTGTGGGGCTGTTTCCCTCAAGACCTAAGTCCCAAGAACCTGAGAAAGTTTTAGACAAACTCAGGAGGGTCTTTTGTACATCTTCACATGGTAGAGTGTGAGCCTGGGGACTGGTGGCTCCAGTATGGGGTGGCAGTCCAGTAAGCAAAAGTCTTGCTATTTCTTGTGTTGCTCTGGAGAACGGAGCAAGGATGAAGTGGTGGGCACAGAGATTCACTGCGCAGCAGTCTGAGGCACTGCACAGCGAGGCGGTGATAGCTTCTGCCAGGCTGCAGCCCTTAGGCAGCGCTGAGTCTTCTTCCTTCTGTTCGTAGCTCAACCGCCCACCAGCCAAGCTGAATTTACTGACATGCCAGGTGAAGCCGAATGTGGACGACAGGAAATGCTTTGATCTGGTTTCACGTGAGTCCTGGCACCTGTTCTGTGGCTCCTCTGAGAAAAGTCCCGAGAAACAGCAGCAATTTCTGTTCAGAAAGGCAGTGTAGGCCAAGGCGAGGTGAAACTCTGCTGCTTGGAGCCATGGCTCGCCATGGGAAACAATGTTGGGAAGCAGCTCTGCTCAGAAGCGGCAGTGCATGTTCCAACATGAGTGGCTGCTCTGCCACAGCACAGCATTGTGGAAGGCACGTGTGGACCATGGGCAGCAGCTTAGCTGGCAGGAGCAGCCCTCTTTCCCGGTATGGGAGCAGGTCCCTTTGCTTGGGGTGCACCATGGAGGGACTGGGGCTAGCAGAGTCACAGGCAGTGTCCACGCCAGGTGCCTGAGTTGAAGTTTTCTCTCCCCTGTGCCCGGCTGAGCCCAGCTCAGGCTTGTCCTGTGGTGAGTCTGCCAGGTGGGATGCAAGTGTGGGACAGCAAGCTCCATGCAGGCCTTCCAGGCAGCCCTGTCCTACTCCCACTAAAGTCAAGCCCTTTTGGATCCGGGTTCTTCAAGGTCTGGAGGAAAATCACTCTGTGTGTTTCAGATAACCGCACCTACCACTTCCTGGCAGAGAATGAGCAGGAATGTGTTGTGTAAGTACTGCTGGCAGAGAATGCTGGCTGGGGACAAAACGTGCTCCTCTGGCTGCTGCGGAGGAGTCAGAGCTGGCTAATGAAGCAGCACTGTGTCCTGCCCGGCAAACAGGGCGCAGGGCCCAAGTGAACGCTTTGGCACCCAATTTGCTGCTAGATTCACTTTCAGGAGCTCTGTGTTTATTTGGTCTGGGCAACGTGGGCTTCCACTCTTCCTTGCTGTGCCTGCACTGGCTGTGCAGCAATGGGACAAGCCCTGATGCCCTCTGCTGTGCTCCCTGCAACCTGAGCGTGGTGACACAGGGCTCCTCTGCTAAGAGCAACTTTCTGTCCCTGCAGATGGGTGTCCGTCCTCAGCAACAGCAAGGAGGAGGCTCTAAACGTGGCCTTCAGCAAGGCACAAAGTGGTGGCGAGAGCAGCAGGGAGGAGCTGACCCAGGCCATCATTGAGGAAGTTAAATGCAAGCCCGGGAACGGAGAATGCTGTGACTGCTCAGCACCAGGTGAGAGCCAGCCCGCAGCTGTAGTGGCCATTGCTCAGGCTGCCTGTGTCGCCTTTCTCTGGGGGACAGAGAGAGCTCTGCTCTTCCCTCTGCAGCAACCAGCTCTGCCGCAGCCCAGCCTGCAGAGACCCGCAGTTCTGGAGCTCGCCATTGTGCTCTTTGATGCCAGCTTGGTACCAAAAGCAGCCCCGCTGTGCACATGCATGCCTTGTGCCCAGTGCCCCGAGGCTGCAGGGAGGGAGGGCCGGTGAGTGGCAGGGGCAGGAGCTGCGTACTAGCCCAGCAGTGTTATCTCTACAGATCCCACTTGGCTCTCCATTAACTTGGGCATCCTGATCTGCATCGAGTGCTCTGGGATTCACAGAGAGATGGGTGTGCATCTTTCCCGCATCCAGTCGCTATCTCTGGACAAGCTGGCAACCTCAGAATTGCTGGTAGGATGTTGTCAGAAGGGTGCTCTGTCCATATGCCTCTCTCTGCTCCTGTGGCCCTTCTGAATCCAGATGGAAGGGAATTCACTGCATTTTTCCCTTGTTCAACTGGCCCATCCTCAGCTGTAATTCTGGGAGTTTAGTGATTATTGTAACAGGAAGTGTTGTCTTTGAAGAGAAGGATGTTGTTTCACCTTTCCTGGATCATCCATCTCCCATGCTCAGTCCCTTCCCTCAGCTGTTCTCATGCAGGGGAGCTGCAGGGCAAGTCCAAGCCCAGTCTGGTGCACAGTAGAGGGAAGGGAAAGTGGAGGGAGGGTTTGCAAAGGCCTCAGGGCTCGTGATACGGCTGTGGGTAGGTCAGCAAGGACTGGCTAGGGAGTTGCTAGTAGCTGGTAGGTATCAGTCAAGGAACGAGAGTGGCAATGATCATTGGTTGCCTGGATATGATCCCAGGAGCTGGTGCTGGAGTGGCAGGTCTCCACAGTATGTGGGGCAGAGTCCCTGTACCATTGGGCATACTCATCCAGGGGGCCATTCACTGCCCCTTGACACATTGTCCCACTGAATATAAAGTGCTGAAGGTCAAGATCCCTCACCCTGAGCTCCTTCTCCTGCTGCCAAGCATGTGATAGTCCTATGCCACCCCATGGGTTGGTTGTTTTGCAGCTGGCAAAGACTATTGGCAACTCCTGCTTCAATGACATCATGGAAGCGAAGATCCCCAGCTCTACAACGAAACCCACAGAGCACAGTGATATGTAAGTTGCCCTGCAAGAGTGACATTTGTGGGGGGTTAGGTGTGGGACCCTTGTTTGTTGCTGTGCTCCATGGGTCTGTTAGTTCCCCATGATAACCAGGCATGTGTACGATGCCAAATCTCCCTGCCCAGATGGTAACTTCTGTTGAGAAATAATTTCATCGAGCTCAACAGGAAAGGGCTGATAAAGGGGAATGAAGGGTCAAGGAGACCCAGCAGGATGGTGTAGGGGGTGGCTTCAAGGTCAGGACAGAGCCAAGGAACCAGCACTGGAAAGGGAAAAGCCTAAAGAGAAACAGAAAAAGAAATGGAGTTGCCAGGCAGGATGACCCTGGCTGCACACATTAGACAGGCAGGTGAAGGACAGAGTGATGCAGTGGGATGGAAGAGAAATAATTACATGGTGCAGAGCAGTTGAAAGTGTTCAGTGGCTGGGGCACAGGTTCAGTGGGGTTACCGTAGGCATCTAGCAGAAGGGAAGAGAAAATAAGAGGTCTGTGGGCATTGTAACACATGTGGCCAAGTTACTTGTGATACAAGTGCAGAGAGAGACAGAGTCTCTGAAGACTTCCAGCTCGTGATAGATGCCAGCTTCCTTCACTGAGTGTGTGGGGACCTATCGCTTGGCACATTCACTGTGGATGCAGGCCACAAAGTCCTCTTCATCCTGGAAAGAGATCCAGCCTCTAGGCCCTGTAGAGGATGGATGAGATCTTGGATGGCACAGTTGGTGCCAGAAACAACTCTGGGCTTCTCCAGGGCTTAGCACTGCAAAGCTGGGGTGGGGCAACAGAGCTCTTGGGGAAGCAGTTTTTCTGTGGCAGATTTTTCTGCTTGGAGTTTCCTTTACACCCTGGGCATCTGCCCCACAGACCTTCCAACAGGGAAGCTTCTGCTTTTCTTGAATTCTCTTCTCCAGCTGGAGGTTCCCAGGTTACTCAGTCATTCTCTGTCTGAAAGCTGTTCTGTTTTTGTTGATCACTGTTGTCTACTCTGTGTCATGTGATGCTTCTCACTCCCTGTGCTCCTTCCCCTCATTCTCACTGTGCAGACAGCTGAGCTCATTTCATGAACTATGAGGCCAGACACAAAGGATAGAAAGGCAGAGGACAGGACTGGGGAGGAAAGGAAGTGAGAAGACAGTAGCAAACAGCACCAGGCCAGTGCATAAAACCCTAGTGCACTCAGCACTGGAGTCTGCCCTCCTGGCAGAGACCTGTAGGAGGCAGGGAGAGGTACAGGGAACACTAACGAGCAGAGCCTGAAGTGTGAAAAAAAAAAATTAACGTTTGCAGGGGCTTGGGCTCTTCATCCTGGAAAATACCATGGCAGGAGGTCTGCACAGTCATGGGAGGCCGAGAAAACAGGAGAGGCATCAACTGCTCCCTGGGCCTCCCAGCAGCAGAACTTGGGGCGTCGGAGGAAAGCCCCTCCCAAAGCAAATGAAGGAGGTGGTTCTTCCTTCCCACGATGGGGAGGTGCATGCAGAAATCTCCCTGTCCCAGCACTGCAGACATGGACGCTTAAATGCAAGATAAGGACTCATTCAATTACATAACTCCAGGAGAAGAAGCTTTAAGAAAACCACAGTGTTTTGCAAGTTGTGAATGCTGCTATAGAGAGGTGTGGGGGTGGAGCAGAGATAGGAAATGAGTGAAACTGCCTAGTAGGGGAAGTAGCTGGGGCAGGAGAAGAGGAGGAGTCGTTGTGACAATGCTTGCTTGGTCTCTGTGTGGGTCCTAACTTCTGTTCTGTTTGTCTCTGCTAGGGCCTTTCGGAAAAATTTCATAATTTCCAAATATATTGAAAAAAAATATGCAAAGAAGAGCCCTGCCACTCACCATCAAGGCCTGCCAGAAGCCATCATGTACAAGGAGATATTTTCTTTGCTCCAAGCTTATGCTGAGAATGTGGATTTGAGCAAGCCTGTGCTGGCACCTCTGCAGGTACAACTCCCCTCTGCAGTGCCACTGGGAGCACAGGAGCAGTCCTGGCACCATCACCAAATGGGGGGATTGCAGAGGACTGGAGGAGTCTGAAAAGGAGGTGCTCGCAGGGAAGGGAGGTGCTCGCAGGGAGCCGCAGAGCAGCCCTGCTCCCCTGATGGAAGCTCTGACTCCAGGGCAGGCTGAATTCCCAGGCTCAGAGAACCCAGCACCTCTTCCCTCCTATTCCCAGCTGCAGCTGGTAGCTGTTACTTGGAAAAGGTTTTTTTGCCGGGCTGGCAAGTTCTTCACCATCAGTTTCATCCTGCTTCCTGCAGCAGCGTCGACAGGGAAGGCAGGCAATTAGGCTTCTCTTCTGGGCAGCTGGACACATACTGTGGCACAGCTGCCACTGTGAGCGATGCCAGCATGCAGCATGTGGGCAGCAATTCTGTGGGCTACAGAATCATCCAAGCAACATTAAAAGGATACTTTGCTGGTTTCAAATAATGAGGAGTGTGATGAGGATCCTGCCTGCTGGCCTTGCCTCCACAGTGCCCTCTGTAGCTCCCCCTCTCCATCAGAGTCTCCTGTCCCTCTTGCAGACACAGAGCAGTCTCACAGGTCCATATGAGAAACAGCTTTACACTGTTCTCTCCACCTGTCCGCAAAGGTCCCTCTGTCCATGAGGGAGCAGTGTTTGTCAGGGAAAATGGTGCTTTCTGTGGTCTGAGTGTAGCAGCTAGATTTGAGGGAGGTGAGGAACATCACGATAGATGATAGTGGCAGTGGCAGTGGAGCTTTTAAAGGCCAATTTATAATCAACTGTTACTTGTAAACTTCTGAACAGTTTTCAGACCCTCAAAATGTCCAAGTCGTACTTGGAAATTGCAGGTTGAAAATTCGGCTAGCTTTTTTTTTTTTTTTTATCCCAGGCCAAAATGTAAATCCTCACTGAAGGAGCAGTCTTAAGTCGAGGTGTTTGCTCTTGGCTTCTATGGGGATGCTGCTGTTCCATTTCTTTTCCTAGAGAGCAAGCTTGTGGGTGATCTCTCGAGAAAACTGAGAGAGTAAACGGCTGCAGTGAGCAAGAAACACATTCAGAAGTGATAGGCTGTGGGACAAACTGGCAAGCAAGAAGCAGCTCTGCAGAGAGCGACTGTGGCTCATCCTTGGGCGCTCAGTGGCAGCCAGTGAAATCACAAACTTGGCCAAGTTCTGCTGCTCATTTGGGGAAAATCACCTCTGGTTCCCTCAGTTTCTAAATGTGAAAAGGGGATGGTTTATCCTGTCTTACAAAACCATCAGAAATGAAAACGTGCCTGCAAAAGGGCAGATGTTAAGAAAATAAGTGGCTCAGCCCCTAATAAAAAGGTGTCAGTTGCTCAGAAAAGACATAAGGAGGATGAGGATTAGAAAAAGTTTCCTGGAGAAATGTGACTCCATGAATCTACCTCATTAAAACAGCACTGGAGTTCTAGTTGACCTTGCTGTATGTGTTTATGAAAAGACACAGACCCCTTTCAGTTGATCCCTTGGAGGCTGTTAAATGTGTAAAGACACCAATGCAGATGGAGGAACCGGCTGATTTAGTTTTTTATTGTGTACACAAGCAGCTCCTCCTCTCGCCTGTGACATCTACATAGTATTGAATTGCACGTGCTCACTGTCTTGGCCTGATGAATTGTTCTGGAGCAGTTCCTAGAGGAAGCTGGCAGCCAGTGTCTCCCACGTTTGCAGAGTCTGGTAGGTTGGCCGCTGGCCCTAAGGCAGTACTCAGGCCTCCTGTGGCATCACAGCTGCTCCTCCCGGGATCACGCAGTTCTAAATCTCAGGAGCGACAGAGCTTGGTTTGTGATGGAGGTGCTGGCAGACACAGTCTCATCCTATTGCTTGCCGTATGTTTCTTGTTTGCAGGAACCTGGGGAGACCATGCTCCACCTGGCAGTGCTGTTGTCTGATAGAACCTCTTTGCATATTGTTGATTTTCTTGTGCAAAACAGGTAAGCTCATGACACCTAGTGAGCTTGTCATGATGCCAGGGCTAGTGAAAGGTGCAAGACTGATGGTTTTGGAGATTCCTTCTACATGCTCCCAGAGAAAAAGCACTGGAGCAGACGTGCCAAAAAATGTGCCTTGGGCTGGACATGGGGTGACTATCCCCAGATCACAGGATCCTTAGGTTCTCTCACCTCCTCTGGGTCTTTGTTGAGGTGTAGCAGTGGTGGGATGAGGTGGGAAGAAATACACATGTGCAAACCCCACTGCAAGTTTGGGACAAGCTGCTCTTTCTAGACACGCTGACACTATTCACCCTCTGCTGCAGTGGGAACCTGACAATGCAGACTGCAAAGGGGAACACGCCGCTTCACTACTGCTGCTCTCACAACAAACCCGAGTGTGTCAAGCTACTACTGAAGGCCAAAGTCAACATTGCCATCAGTAAGTGACTGGGGGAACCCCTATCCTGTGTGTGCAGATGGTGCCTTCTCAACCCCTTCCTGGTAACACCACCCTGAGCCTTGTTAAACTGCTCAACAGTGCTTGCTTACTGCTGGCGGGTGACGACTTCCAGAGAGACTCTGCAGAACCAGATTAATAACTTTTGAAGGGGACCCTGCCCTTGGGATGAGGTCTCTTCTCATCATGTCCAATCAGGTGTCACACTCTTCTCTGTGACACTTCTCAGTTTGCTCTCCAGGTTCAGGGCCACCCACACGCCAGTCAGGCCTGCCTCTCGGGGTGCACAGTGCCCTCCCAGAGATGGACTGACCAAGGTTCCTGCTCTTGGCAGTCTGGGACAGAATTGCAGAATTGCAGAATTCCTCTGCTGTCCAGGTCAGAGCTGCATTCTCTCTGCTTCTCAGGGAGGGACCAGCAGCACCTCAGGGACCTCCTGTCTTCAGGGAACTACTTCTTCCGCCCCAGTTCACTTCATTTCTCAAGCAGAACATGAAAGGTCTGCCTGAGGCCGGCAACTTCAAGATCATTTCCATGCTCTCTGCCACCTGAGCTCTCCTGAGCAGAGGATTATGCTGGGGTACACTCACAGAGCTAGAAGAGCAAGAGAGAAGTAGTCTGAGATGCTTTTCCATACTCAGGACATGCGTAGGAGAAACTGACAGAGCTGACTTTTATTTTCAAAGTCAACGGTGAAACTGGGAATGCTGGGGGAATGGTTAGGTTTGACAAAATGCTGGTTCAGAAACTGAGCATATAATGTTGCTCAGGAACCCAGACTATGGATCTGGTCATTTATGCTGCACATGAATTGAGTTTTAAAACTGGAATCTTTGTTGAAATGGAAGATCACAAATTTCATGATCATTAGGTATCAGCTGAGTTTGTAGGCCCTCCTCAGTTTGTAGTCACTCCTCAGACACTTCCCCCACTGTTTTACACCACAGATTGTGCAGTATCAATACCTAGGAGAGCAGAAAATACGGCAGGGATGCAGGAATTTGCATGCACCTCCCACAGTCTCACAGTGTTTCAGCAACCCCATGTCCCATTGCCGAGGGCACCCCAAGTGCAGTGGCACCTGCCCTCAGTAAATCAACCTTCTGCAGTCTCCAGCACAGACCCTGCATCCATTTGGGATGCCCTGTAGACTCTTGGATGCTGATTCCCTGGAGGCAGGAGTGTCCTCCAGCTGCCTGCGCTCTCCCTTCTCCAGAGTCCCCTGAGCTGCCCCCTTGCGCAGCCTGCCCGGGGCCTTCCCAGCTTGGTAGAGCCTGGTAGGAAACAAGGATGCGAAATCACAGCAACAAGGTGGCAGGTCTCAGCCCTCAGAGGAAGGGAAGGTGTCTCTGAATCTGCTTTTGTTTCCTTCAGGCTCAGAAGTGACTGTGATCCTTTGCCTCTCTATTCTGTCCTGTGTCTGCATGTCATCAGGATTTACTCGCTGTCCTTTCTCTCCTTATCTGGGTACCTCATTGCTCTTCTCCTCTTTTAAGCTATCCCTTCTTTTAGATGTTAGGATGTGAATGACCTGCTAACCTTGGTGCCATGAGAAGGTGCCTTTCATAGCCCTTCTTTCCTTTGGTCCTCTCGCACCAGGCATTTCCATTTCCACTTTAACATTAAGCTTAACATTCTTTTGCAGTTCTCTACAATCTCCAGAGATGATAGAGAGGCAGGTTTTGCGAAGAGTTTTGCATAGGCTTTTGCATAGGGCTCTGTAAATAGCATTACTCTTCGCTTAGTAAAGAGGGGGCTCATAGGTTCAAGACTGTCCTTTTCTCCTACAGCTAATGAAGCAGGCGAGACAGCCCTGGCTGTTGCCAGGAGGATGAGACATCCCCAGTGTGAAGAACTGGTAAGAAATCATGTCTCACTCCCCCGGCTTTCAAGACATCCCGACAGCATGGAGTGAAGTCCACCCCTGTGGATGTGTCAAGTCAATGTCAGTGCAGGGCTGCACGGGGCTGTGAGGGAGAGAGCTGGGCTGGAGGAGGGGGATCTGTACAGCTTCCGACTTTGCAGGCAGCACCCTTCAGCCTGCTGCAGTCCCATGGCCCTGCTTGGTGACTGGAGACTGCAAAGACAAGTGAGTCTGTCCCTCAGCACCTCTGGTGTCTGTGCCCAGCACTTGTGGGGGCACAGTACAGGAGAGTTCGGAATAGGCCAGACCAGAGCAGACTAGAGCAGTCCAGAGGTCATGCTGTGCTGTGAGGGCTGAGAACAAGCACCTACTTGTGCCATCCAAGAGAACTGACCTTCTGGCTCCATAAGGGAGCCAGACATGACATTTCTGCCATGTCTCAAGCTGGGTATTTGGAGATATTTGCAAAGTCATTGTGCTCCAAGCTTGCCAGGCAGGAAATATTGCTCACAACTCCCACATGTTTCTTTGAAAACTGAATGGTTGGAGCTGAAGGTAGGTGTGGTCCTGGGTGCCTGCTGGGCATAGGAGAGGGCTACGTCCTCAGGGAGCTCCTCTGTGTCGCAGCTGCTGCAGGCCCAAAACAATGAGTTCAACCCGCACGTCCATGTGGAGTACGAGTGGTGGCTGGGCCAGGATGACATGTATGAAAGTGACGAAGACCTGGATGAGAAGGTAAGATGCCTCCATGTGCCCAGGCAAGACACGTGTAGGCCTTGGAGGACATGCCTTTGGCCTTATATTGAGCCGCCTTCTGCTCACGATTACTCAGATAGACTCATCTTTCCCATAAATGAGGAAAACATGGCTCTTGTGGGATTTCTTATCTCTTTTTCCCTTTCCTTTCCTTTCCTTTCCTTTCCTTTCCTTTCCTTTCCTTTCCTTTCCTTTCCTTTCCTTTCCTTTCCTTTCCTTTCCTTTCCTTTCCTTTCCTTTCCTTTCTTTCTCCTTCTCCTTCTCCTTCCTCCTGTTTTGGAGAGGAGTGGGAGTCAGGCTCTGCCACCCAGCCCCTTGTCTCTCCTCTGCTTCCTTGTTGCAGGGGCTGTGAATCTGTCCCGATGTCTTCTGAGGAATGTGTCTGTGGCCTAGGCCTTGTGCTGTTGCGGGTAGTTCAAGGTGATCAGGCGCCAGGTCTGTCACTGTCGCGCAGCCCCAGGCAGCTCAGTGACCTGTGCTGGTGGTCCCAGCTGTCCTGCGATGGCAGTGCCACACTGCTATTGCATGTGGTCCCATGTGACAAGCGTGGCCTGTCGCCCAGTCGTGTAGTAGCACCATGTGTATCACTGCTGCCTCCCATTCTCATCACTGTGGAGTGGTCAAAGACTCTTGTTGATTGCCCTAGCCTTTCTCTCCTTCTGTATGCTCCCTTTTATGTGCAAATAAATACCTGTTTCTCAGATGGGTTCTTTGAAGAAAGAGCATCCTATGCGTCCTCAGAGCTGCTACCACCCACCTGCTCCTGCTCCCAAGCAACAGGCAGCAGGGACGGTGCCCCTGGGGAAGAGGCCAGACACCTTCATGTCACCCAGCCACCTCCGTGGCCTGGACATGCCACCAGCCCCCTCCTACGCACCCCCCACCCCACCCCAGTGGGTAAGCCCAGGTAAGAGCATGACGTGGGAAGCTTGCATGGGCTGGCAGGGTCAGGGCCCGGAACCCCTGCGGCATTGCTCCGTCAGATCAGGATCATTTGGGCTGTAGATGATGATGTAGATGATGAGGCCACATCTGGAGTATTGTGTCCAGTTCTGGGCTCCGCAGTACAAGAGGGATGTGGAGCTGCTGGAGAGAGTCCAGCGCAGGGCTACAAGGATGATCAGGGGCCTGGAACATCTGCCCTATGAGGAGAGACTGAGGGAGCTGGGCCTGTTCAGCCTGGAGAAGAGAAGGCTGAGAGGGGACCTGATCAGTGTCTATAAGTACCTCAAGGGAGGCAGTGAGGAGGATGCTGCTGGCCTCTTTTCAGTGGTGGCCACTGAGAGAACTAGAGGAAATGGCCAGAAACTAAAGCATCAAAAGTTCCACAGAAACTTAAGGAAAAATTTCTTGACAGTGAGGGTGACAGAGCACTGGAACAGGCTGCCCAGAGAGGTTGTGGAGTCTCCTTCTCTGGGGATCTTCAAAACTCGCTTGGACGCAGTCCTGTGCCATGTGCTCTAGGTGACCCTGTGTGTGCAGGGGGTTGGACTAGATGACCTCTAGAGGTCACTTCCAACCTTAAGCATTCTGTGATTCTGTGATTCTATGTGTGAGGGGCTGTCCAGCACTCGCAGGGCGCAGTTCTGTTCTCTGCTCCCTGAGGGAGGAAGACTAGTTGGTGTTGGCTGGCTTTTCCCAGCATTGATCCCCATGTGGGTTTTGCAAACCAGTGTGGAATATGCTCATCTTCAAAACCCCTACACGTGTCTCTCAGGATAGACACCATATCCTCCTGAACATTCATAGCATCATTATGGTTGGAAAAGGCCTTCAAGATCAAGTCCAGCCTCAAGCCTTCAACACCATCCTGCTAAACCATGTCCCCATCTACACCTTTCTTGAACACTGCCAGGGATGGTGACTCCACCACTTCCCTGGGCAGCCTGTTCCAATGCTTGACTGCTCTTTCTGTGTATAAATTTTTCCTAATGTCTAACCTGAACTTCCCCTGCTGCAACTTGAGTCCATTTCCTCTTGTTGGATGGGTAGTTATTCAAGAGATCAAGCCCTGCCTCACTACAACCTCCTTTTGGGTAGTTGTAGAGAATGAGAAGGTCTCCCCTGAGTCTTCTCTTCTCCAGACTGAATAATCCATCTCCCTCAGCTGCTCCTTGACAGCTCTGTGCTCCAGCCCCTGCACCAGCTTCGCTGCCCTTCTTTGGACACACTTCAGCACCTCAATGTCTTTCTTGTAATGAGGGGCCCAAAAATGAACACAATATAAAGACACAGTTTGTAAACAGTATTGGAAACACAAAGCTACTAGAAGCAACAGCAATATTGCAGTGCTGGTCCTTAGCAAAATACCCTCCTGCTGTCCTTGCCCAGCCCTTCTTTGGTCAGTCCAGACATCCTGCTTTCCAGGAGAAAGTCCAAGATCCAAGTCCTTCCTGGCTTCTCTTAAACATGCCCCAGTCACATTTCCAACTTGATGCATTTCTCAAGTCAGGTCTGCAAGCAGAGAAATGACTGTCAAAGTATCTGCTGGTTTCCGCCTGGATTTTTGCTTTGAGGAGCCTTGCTCAGTTTCAGCTTGCTTTTGACTCACAATTTGTTCCTGCTCTGTGTTTAGCTCCCCAGGAGGCCCATCCATCCTTTCTTACCAGCACATCTGTCTTTACTGAGGAAACAAAAACTGGAAAGATCCCACCCCTGATTCTGAGCACCAAGCACAAGCGCACATCTTCTGAACCAGTGCCTTGGGTACCGCTTAGTCCCGAGCCGCCAAGTCAAGTCAACCTGACTTCAGGTAATGAAAAACCTGGATCAGGAAGAGCAAGGGAGGCTACTGTGCTTTGGGGATTGGCACTGCTGGTGAGACGGGCCCTTGAGCGGTCGCCATTTTATCACCTGCTCAGAACGGGGCAATCACCCATGCCAGGTCACGCTGGTTGTAGCTGTGTCTAGCTGAGCCTTGAAACCTCCTAAGGATGGAACTCCAGGCCAAGGACAGGCTGGTGCTCTGGCTCAGCTGGCTCCCAACTCAGCTGCAGGGGAGGAGGGTTAGAGGCCAAAGCCAAAGTTCCCGTGTGCTCCAGTGGGAGCCGAGCAAGGGGTCGGGGCAGTGGGGGAGCGCTGAACTGGGCTTTTTGATATAGTCTAAAGCACCAGTTGGCAGCCTAGGATCTCTTCCATACATCTTTGGTTCATTTAGAGGCTGGATTTTTCCTGCCTGTGGGTTCTTTGGGAGAGAAGTTTCTCCAGAAGTCGGGGTGATTTTTCACTGTTGTTGCAAGGCCTTAGGGCCTGTAAGAACTCTTGCATGAGCTCTGGGTTGAGAGAGAGAAGTGTGAGGTAGCACTGGGCTGTGTGCCCACAGCTGAGACACAAGAGGAGCTCTCAGCATCCAGGAGGTTAGATGGGACCTAGCCTTTTCATGGGTCACAGGACTGTTGGAGATGCTGAATGTGGAGAAGCGAATGACCCTGTCCCAGTCTTTCAGACAGTGCATTTGTTTTGGGAGGTGCCCATGGCAGAGCGAGGCCCCCTCTCTGCAGGGTGGCAGGTTGGGGCTGAGGCAGTGGCTCTTCAATAAAAGGGCTGAGCATCATCAGGTGCAGCTCCGAGCATTTCTCACTGAGGGTCTGGCCTGCTAGAACCCCAAGGAGCCAAGCTGTCTCCTCCAGGGAATAACCGCCTCCCTGCAGAGCTCAGCCATGTGGGGAGTGCTGGAGACAGAGGGTGCCGAGCACTTGTCCCACAACAACGATCCCCTTCCCCTAGTGCTCGCAGCTCTCAGGGCACCTTGGAGCTGTCTCTCCAGCACAACCA